CCCCTTCCTACTTTTTTTGTTGTTGTCATTTTTGTATCTAGTGGTTCTTGGGTAATTAGTTCAATGTGGGATCATCTTGAAACTAAAATCAGTATAAGTCTTCAAATCATTAAAATCTGCATATATCAAAATTTGAAAAATATTAAATGGAATGTTTAATAGGATTAAAGAACATTTTTTTTTGGACTAGGTAATGGGTCCATATGGTTCAAAATGCAAAAGGTGCAAAAAGTGAATTTTCTCTTGTCTGTTTCACGCGCACACTTTCCCCCTCACTGGAGGCAGCCAATTCTATTCTCCTTACCTTAAAAAAAAGACATAAATCATAGCATATTCTACATACTGTTATCTTTCCGTTTTCTATTGATTTTTGTCATTCTTTACATATTGGTATGTGAAGAGTGTGTTAGTAATAGAAAACCTAAACCAACAGTAAGTGAAACAACAAAGTCTTTCTCTTATGAAAGTTCAGATAGGTGGTCTAGGGCTGGTATAGCACTCAAGGTGTTGCTTTTTTCTTCTTTGTTTTGAGGCATAATGAATACAGTCAAGTGCATAGATATTAGGCAGTCAGTTTGATGAGTTTTGACATTTGTACAGAACAAATGCTGCTGGCGAGAGAAGGGGGGGAGAGACAGACAGACAGACAGACACTTCTAGTCTGTCTTCATCCCCCCCTTTTGATTACCTGAGCTCTTTCTGTATCGTTACTGCTCCACTGTGTTTACTTGTGTCCTCATTGACCTACCTGGATCTCCCGCAATTGCAACCTATTCCAAGCTGCAGAATGTAAGAAGGGACAAAGGCTACATGCCACCCTTTTTACAGGAAGATTTCTAGAAGCTGCCACGTCACAACACTTCCAGTCATGCTGTGTTAGCCAGAAATTAGTGTCACATTTGAATGCAAGGGAGGTTGAGAAATGGAGTTGTTACTATCATTTTCTATTAGAAATAATGCTTCAGTTCATAGGTTATCTTGTTCATAGGTTGTCTAGAAGTGGAACTGCTGGGTCAAAGAGTATTTGAAGTTTGAGTGTACACCTATTTTTTCACACCTTTCTTGACAGTTTTTGTATTTCCTAATCTCATTGTTAAAGCATGATGACAGAGGGTAGCTCTAATATGCTTGATAGGGCATTTAGGTACAGAGAGAAACTACTTTTACTCCAGCTAAGATGCCTTGCAAACATGGACTACACAACCAGCTAATGTAATGCTAGGTTGGGGGAGGCATATCACAGCATGTTTCCATTTTATTTAGGCCAATCCTAAGAGGAGATTGGGTTAAGGTTAGAAGAGAAACCCTTTTACCCACAAATACTTACAGTAAACTGACAGGAAGACAAGTGAATGATGTGTTTCTTGGGAATTGCTCTCTTAATTAAAAGTAGATTAGGGCATAAGATTAAAAAGCATCAATTTTTTTTATCTTGTTTTTTCATGTACATTCCTTATCATGTACATTTCTTAGAAATGCGTTTTCAACTAGTCTTTAATGTAAAAAATTTTTTAATTTACAGTTGACGTACTATATTAGTTTCAGGTGTACAATATAGTGATTAGACATTTATATAACTTATGAAGGGATCAATCACCCCGATAAACCTAGTACCCATCTGACACCATACATAGTTATTATCATATTATTAACTGTATTCCCTATGCTTTACTTTTTACATCCCTGTGACTGTTTTTATAACTGGCAGTTTGTCCATCCTAACCCCCCCTCTTTTTTTTTTTTTTAAGATTTTATTGGAGGAATTGGGGGAGGGAACAGCATTGGGGAATCGGGGTAGGGAAACAGACAAGTTGCTGTCCTTTTGTTCTTCAGTCTAGTTGTGGAGGACGTTGCTTCACTGGCCCAAGTTGGCACCATCATTGCGCTCTTCCCGGGCGAGGCAGATCAGTCGCCGGCTTCTGGACGGCTGCTCACTGCGGCTGCTGGCCGCTCACGCTGGCTGCTGGCTACACACGGTAGCCCATGGCAACCCACTGCAGCAGGGGCTGCAGCCTCCGCCGTCGCCGGTGACTCATGGCAGCCCAGCTCCAGGTTGAGCTGTTGTTCAGCATCTTAGCTGTGGAGGGCAGTGTCACTTGCCCTCATATGTGGGATCCGAACCGGGGCCCTCTGGCGTCCCAAGCCAGTTCTTAACCATTGCGCCACTCGGCCAGTCCCTAAATAGATTTCTTTTATTTGGTTTTGTTAGCACAGATTTTTAGGGTCGGGGAGAGGGATGTATTGTTAAGAGGTTAGTAGCGGTAGCTGCCATTTTTGCTTACATTAGGTAATTGTCAGTCAGATAGGCATGGACTTGCCTTAGGATTTACATTGGCTGTTCCCTGTATCTAGAACACTATTCTCTTAGATAAATTTCATGCCTCATTCCTTACTTATTCACCTTCTCTGAATGTCTTCTTACATATCACCTTCTCAAGGAAGCCTGTGTTGAACACCTGTTTAAAATGGCAACTGCTCCTCCCCGCCTGCACTTCCAAGTTCCCTAACCGTAGTCTATTTTTCCCCATAGCATTTACTTCCTTGTCGTTTACTTATGCATATTATTTATTCTCTCTCTCACCACCAGGATGTTATTAGTTGAGGACTTGGACTATTTATTCACTATTTTAAGTGTCTCACAGGTGCTCAACAAACATTTGTTGAATGGATGAGGTTAGGAGAGAAAGTAGCATGTGAGAAAGATAGCTATAAAATAATTTACATTTTAAAAATTTATATTTAGAAGTACTGTTTCCATTATTTTAAAAGTTTTGCTTTTGGAGACCAGTGTTCCATAATGATTCCAAGGCAAACAAACCTGTACAAAGTTTAAGGACTCTTATTCTCTTGGTCAAATATAGGGACTGAGTTTTAGCTTGATGAAATACATCATTGCCTCAAGTCTCTAGCATCTTGTTGGTGAGGTTGCTTCTCATAGCCTTCAGTGGTGGTGTGTTAAAGCGAAAGAGTGTATAGGGTTGAGTGTGTGTGTGCAGATGGAACGTCTCTTTCCACTGGAGGTGACTTTCCACAAAGTGAGGGGTGACAATATTAATAGCTTCCTTCCTTCCTTTCTTTTGACGAGGCCGTATGCTACACATTTTATGTGTATTATCATGTTTATCTTTATAAAACCCTGTGAGGAAAGTATTCTTGTCCCTTTTATCTTGCAGAAAACTTGTCTTAGAGGTTAAGCAGCCAGCCTAGCCAGTAAGTGTGTTGGAGCTGAAATTCAAACTCAAGCAGTCTGACCTGTAGAGGAACTTCACTACATAAAATGCATTTCTAGTGAGGAGCACCTAGAAATGAAAAAGAAACCCGAAACAACTTAGTGGAACTCTAATATCACAGAGAAACCTTTATCTTTTATTTGTTCCAGCTTCCCATGACTTACATAGATTGAATGAGACACTGTGATTGAAGTAGTAATATTATGTTAAAAGTTAATGCTGGGCCGGCCGAGTGGCNAGAAGATGACACAGCTAGATATAAACTGGCATTGATTTGTAAACCTGATTCTCATATGCCCAAGGTTTAATAAAAACAGTGTGTTCTCCCCGCCACCCCCACCATGCCCTGAAGCATGACAATAATTTCTATTGTCTCTGTTTGAGGAGTCTCTGAACTTCATAGACGTCTGCCCCACATGAATAAAACAATTGGCTACAATGAGATCCCATAAATTGGTGATGCCTGGTTAACATTTTTCTGGAGACCAGAACAAGTCGTGTAGCTTACCCAGGGCTTAAAAAGGCAAGAGAGGTATTTATAGCAACAATAACAGCTGACTGCAAGTATTTGTATGCCGATTAAATGTATTCTAGGAAATCTTAAAATTACTGAGTTCAGTAGCTCTCACATCAGGCTCATCAGCTTAAGCTGCAGTTTAAATTTTATTTTTTTAAAAACTCCATTGAAGCTAAGAATAGAAAAACGAGAGGATTGCTCTGGAGTGGTATCTTAGGGCAAATTTAGCTCACCGAATTTAGCTCAGCCCCTGAAGAAATAAAATTTTACAACAGTTGAAATAAAAAACTATCCATAAAAAAGCGTCTTTTCAAATAATGCACTCTGCCATTTAATGGAACTTCTCAGAACATGAAAATTGTTCTTTAAATCATTTCCATGGTCTCCTTAAAGTACACATTTCCAGAATGAAAACTAATGTATTCTTTTTTTTTTTTTTTCTGGCTACACACAGTAGCCCATGGCAACCCACTGCAGCAGGGGCTGCAGCCTACGCCGTCCCCGGGGACTCATGGCAGCCCAGCTCCAGGTTGAGCTGTTGTTCAGCATCTTAGCTGTGGAGGGCAGTGTCACTGGCCCGCATATATGGGATCCGAGCCGGGGCCCTCTGGTGTCCCAAGCCTGCTCTTAACCAACGTGCCACTCGGCCGGCCCCGTATTTTTCATTATTGATGAGAAGTCTTAGGCCATTTTGACTCTTGTTCCTTTGTAGATGCATTTTCTCTGGAAGCTTTTAGTATCTTATTTATCTTTGTTGTCCGAAATTTCCCACTGATAGGTGTGGGTCTCTTGATTTGAACACTGAGAGGTCTCTATTAATTGGAAGACTTCTATAATGTTTTCCATTAACTTAGTCTTTTAGTTGTGGAAAATTCCTATTTCTTTGAAAACTTCCACTCTTCAATTTTTAAATTTTTTTTTTGTTCTGGAGTTCTTGCTAGTCAAATGCTGACCTCCTGAACTGATGCTATGCCTCCTTTGATATTTTTTTTGTCTGTGTTTTGGTTTACTTTCTTGATTTCACCTCCACAACTTCAAACCTTATACTGCCTTTTTCTTTTTTCTTTTTTTAATTTTCTTTTCTCATTCTTTTTTTGCCTTTTTCCACAGCTTCCTGTCTTGCTTTATGGATGCAATACTTTGAGGATGTCAATTAGAGGGCTTTTAACAAGTTCTATTCCGTTTTATGAATTCTTTTTCTCTCTTTGTCACATTTCCTTAACTTTTGTTTCTTTGTCTCTTGCATGTTACAGATGTTTGATTCTGATTTAACCAATCAAATGGAGGAATGAAGCAATATAAAACTGTTTGGGCCTCTGTACCTAGAAAGGGTCTCTCAGCTGGTGAGCTTTGCATTCGGGTGAACAGTGAGGGGCCCATTGTCCTTGGTGAGTGATGCTAAGGCCTATAATAGCTGCTGTTAATTCTCTCCAGACAGTTTAATTTCATAAAAGAAGGACTTGCCAGGTTTCCCCCCTAAATAATATAAAATCTCTAATAAGATAACTGGGATTGTGAAGAGGGTCGGTGATCTAGGGTCTAGAAATGTTCAAATAGTCATCTTTCCTGTGTTTCAGAGGATAAGCTTTAGGACAGAGGGTAGTATAGCAGAGAGCAGCCCAGATATTGGGGTCAGACTGCTTGGATTTAAATTTGGTTCTGCCACTTAGTTATTTACTTAAGTTCCTTAACCTCTCAGTGGCCCTTTTCTCATCTGTAATATTTGGACAATAATAGCACCTACTTGCTAGGGTGGTTATGAGGATTTAGTTAAAAATACATATATTAAATACCTGGCATATTGCAAGTTCTCAGAAAGCGTTAATTTTTTCTTTTTCTCCCTGTTAATGATAACAATTATGTGATTTAGATATGGTGGTGATTGCCTACAGCAGAAATTTTGGTAGGATTAGGTAGTTCTAGATTGTGTTTTTCTCTTTAGAACCTCAAAAAACACTTGGTATCATTAGTTGTGCTGAAATGCATATGTACAAATGTTTTCATAGCCCCTACCCCCTCGCTTCCACCTAAAGGATCTCAGTAAAAATAACTTGATAAGAAAAGTAGTCTCGGAGCACAGCCAGAAAACCAAAAATGAAAAAATACTATTTTCACACCCAGAAATTCTATGTACAATCAAAATCATATGTGCTCAGGGTGTTCGGGAAGTTTTGTTGCCATACAAAACACACACAGTCCTACTTCTTGGACTTCAGAAATGTTGGAAGTTTCTTTATAAATGGATGTTTAGGGCAGGAGACTGGCAGGAGGAAATAATTCCTGAAAAACAATTCTTTTGTTTTTGCTTTGGTATGCTCCATTATGGTGGAATGCCAAGACTTTCCTCACCACACTTTCTGCTGACTATTCCTAAAATTCAGGTGAGTTAATGAGTCAAACTCTTGTTTAGTAAGTAGTTCCTGCCCTCCTCCTGTTCCCTTCCCCCAAACTTGACCCTTTTTTGAACTGGGGGTTCTTAGTTTAGATTATTTACCTTGTTGTTTTTTTCTTCCCCCCTCCCACATGAGTGGAGGAAGTCCTTGAAATCTATTAATGTTACTCTGCTGTCATCAGTAGAAAGTTGTAGTTGTGAAGCTGATGGCCAGGGGAACCATACCCAGTCTAAAGGGTTAGGTTGGGTCAACAACAGGTCTGTCAGAGTGAGCCAGGGTGTACATACAGTCTGAGCCACTTGGCAGGACAGGCTATGAAACAGCTGGTTCCAACAGGGTGGTCATGTCACATGTACTCAGAGGCCACCTTTCTTGTCCCCCACTCTGGTCGATGTCTGGCTGATAGTACAGTTCAGAAGACAGGCATTTGATCAATTCTAGGAGTGCAGGAAAAACAGTGATTGGATTACTAGGAAGATAGAGCAGCAAAGAGGCCCATGGAGAGTTATGGACCAAGCAAACAGACTGGCTAAAAGATGGAGATGTGGCTCCAGCAGCGAGGAAGGGCAAGCTGGTTGCAAAGTTGTAAGCAGAAAGTCTAATAAGAACAAACGTAAAGGAGCAATTTCTCGTTCCTTAAATGATAGTTTCTTCATGAGGCCTCAAAACACTGCTGGTAAGAGTATTCCAACAAAGCCTGTAGGTTTAAATAGCAGGATATTAACTGAAGATGACTTTTGTTGGGAATTTCTCTGTTTATTAGCTAGAATCAGAAATTTGGACCTGGGGTAATACCATCTGTTAGTTTGCCTCTGGTTAGTGGTGTGGGAAGTTTGTATGATGTTAGGCTAGTTAGTAGGATAGAAATTAAAATGCCCCCACTCACATCAAGTGATTCTGTAGTATCAGTGATTCTGTAAAGTACAGCAGGTCCTCAAATAATGTCATTTTATTCAGCATCATTTCATGATGAAATGCCGAATGAACTTAACTCTTGTTTATATCAATTAGCCTGTGGTAAATTGGTACGTTATATATTGTGAACCTACTGAGAAGGTTAAGTGAGGATTTACTGTATAGGGATGGAGGAGTCTTCTCAAGGAAACTCCCTTTAGTCGTTATTTTTCTCATAACTAGCAGTGGGTCTGAATACTCTGTGTCTAGAATAGGTTTTATAATTAGAAAGTAGTGCTAAGTGTTTACTTACCAGATATGGGAAACACATTTTATGGCGTTTCTTGGGTTTAGAGAAGAATTGATGAAAGGCTAAAATTGTTTTTCTTTTTTGGCGCAAGGTTCTTTCTAAATCCAATCTAACTACTCTGGGCAAATACATCAAAGTATAAGGGATTTGCCTGTGATTTGAATTAGATCTGTTTTCTTTTTCTGGTGAATAATGGAAGTAGTAAAGAGGCTGAGTTGTCAAAGCTTGTGAAGAGATTCTGGGGCAAGTCAATCTTGCCATCAATGTTTGCTCCTACTGTTCCTTAATTTAAGCAAGGTAGTTTCATGTTCCCATTCTGGAGTAAACTCTGAAAACAAATATGGTGAGTATATTGGAGCAGAGTAGAGTATAAGAAATAGTCAAGGATGTTGTGCATTCATTACCTGGAGTAGAATGTACTCACAATGGCCTGGATTGTTCTGATACAATAAAATGTCACTCTTTGGATGTCACAAAGGAGAACAAAAACGAACCAATTCTCAGCTCCTTAAATTTCAGCAATGTGTTGGAGATCCATTTATAATAGTAGATATATTTTTAAGTGAATTGAACTCGCAAGTTTTTGCTTGGTTGCTGTTGTAGCGCTCATGATTCCTTTTCCAACTGGAATCCAAGTGGCGTTTTGAGAAAGGTTCTTGGTTATGTCACCTGGCTTGGCAGTCTGCTGAAAAACACTTGAGGGCCCCCGTTGGTTAAGAGCTGGCTTGGGACGCCAGAGGGCCCCGGTTCGGATCCCACATATGAGGGCAAGTGACGCTGCCCTCTACAGCTAAGATGCTGAACAACAGCTCGACCTGGAGCTGGGCTGCCTCAATGGCAGGTGGGTTGCCATGGGCTACCGTGTGTAGCCAGCAGCCGCCGTGAGTCTAGAAGCCGGCGACTGATCTGCCTCGCCCGAGAAGAGTGCATTGATGGTGCCAGCTTGGGCCAGTGAAGCAATATCCTTCACAACTATACTAAAGAACAAAAGGATAGCAACTTGTCTGTTCCCCTTCCCCCAATTCCCTAGCACTGTTCTCATCCCCCAACTCCCCAATAAAAATCTTTAAAAAAAAAAAAATGAAAAGGGGACTGCAACCTCCTGTCTTTTCCATCATCCACATACTTTTATAATCGTACTGGAAACATAAGTAAAGCTTACTTCCATTGATTCCGTTTCAGCTAATAGTTGCAAGTCCCGCTCCATTTACAGGTAGTCAATTTTTTAAAAAAAAAGGATTTTTATTTTTAGTATGTTTACATACTCTAGTGGTATTTGCATATACATTTTATTTTTTAAAATAACTTTTAATTGTAATTCATTTGTAACACAAATATACTACTAATTGTTTAGGTAAAGGCAAATACAAGAATCGAATAAAACCACCCCTTACCTTTCATTACAGTCTCAGTTTTTGGTAGCTTTTATTCTTTAGTCTTTCTCACATATTCCCAGGCTATTTGTGAGCTATCCAGTTGTGCTAAAGCTATAGGAAACTGATCATCTTGGGTGAAAATGCCAGAATTCTATAGCCTTAAATTAACTCACCCTTTGCTGATTTCTTCACTTCTTTTCAGGAAAAAGTAGACATGTGTGCCAACATCATTGGGCAAGGGGCACAAACAAAGCATTATACTTTGGAAGATAGTGGCTGTTTGAAATCTTTGTCATTCTCTTTCGAAAATACTCAAAATACAAATTAGCACCAAAGAGGAGAGGTGCAAGGGTGCTTTGATATCACTGCAGACTGAATATCTCATTTGCGAATACTTCTAAGTAATGTTGTATAATGGGTTTCTCCTATTAGCTTGTTTGAATATATGTCTTTTTTCCATTTGTGGCTTATCAGTGTCTCTGTGAATGGCTCTGTGAACACTAGACTTCACTCACTGGTTGTGTTCTCTTATCCATGGGTCGGATTTCATTAGAAACCCATGATTTCCAGTGATGTATCTATTTAACAACTTTTACTAATCCCTTTATAAATCCTCTATAAGATTTGTACCAAAAGGATATTTGGAAAAAGTGGGAATAGGAATTTGAATCTCAGTTTTGTTAAGTTTACCTTATAGGGATGTATAAACCTTTTTTTCCTTTATTTATTTATTTATTTTTGTTAATGAAATAGCTTTTAAAGAAGTTTTGATTAATCACAAACTTCAGAAAACACCTCAGAAGAGCTGAAATTTGAAGTGGTTCTAAAGATAGCTCCCTTTTATTGAGTGCTCATAGCATGTTTGCTAAGTGTTTTACATGCATGTGTGTTAAAGACAGGACAGGATTATTTTTGCCATATTTTTATTATTAGACCTATGGGTGAGGTGTTATTGTTTATTTTCAAGTTCTCTGGGAGGTTCTCATATGCACCTGAGGTTGAGAACCTTAGGAAGGTTTTGCTCTAGGAAGATTCGCAGATTTCTGCCTTAGCCCTCTGTGTGGGTGGTTGTGCTTTTTTAAGAGACAATATGGGAAGAGGCTTAGTGTGTTACTGTTTAGTGGGGGCTGGCAGTTGGAAATGGGGTCAGAAACTTAGCGCCAAAGTTGGTACTAGAGCTGAGTGTGGGGGAACTATTGGTAGCTAGATGGTACTCAAAATTATGGGATTAAGGGCCGGCTGAGTGGCTCAGTTGGTTAAGAGCTCGCTCAAGAGTTTGAGCTCTAAGCAACAGCGGTTCGAGTCCCAGCTCGACCTGAGCTGCTGCTGAGCTGCCAACAGGTGGCAGGATGGCTCAGCTAAAAAAAAAAAAAAAAGAAATTACGGGATTAGGTGAAATTGCCGTGGAGAGCCTG